AGCCTGGAGAAGAGGAGACTTGTGGGGAACTTATCAATCTCTGCAACTACCTGAAGGGAGGTTGCTCTTCTCCCAGGTAACTAGTGACAAGACCAGAGGACATGGCCTGAAACAGTATCAGGGGAGGTTTAGGTTGGATCTCAGGAAACACTTCCTCATGGAGAGGGTGCTCAGACATTGGGATGCACTGCCCAGGGAAGTGGTGGAGTCACCGTCCCTGGAGTTGTTTAAGGAGAGGCTGGATGTGGCACTTAGTGCCATGGTCTAAGAGCCATGGTCTGGTCGATGTGGTGGTGTTGGGACATAGGCTGGACCTGATGATCTCAGAGGTCTTTTCCAGCCTCAATAATTCTGTGAATCGATGATATACATCATATTCAGTATAAAGCTGAGGGACCATGGAGGTCAAGCCCTCTTCTTCAATGGCCGGCGTCCAAGGAGGACTCCTTCCATTTTTTGCCTTTGATTCCAATCCCTGAGTTGCCAAATCCAGCTCGTGTGTCCAGTTCCCTTCTGCTGCCAAGTCTGAGATTTCCCTGGTGCCTGCCTGCTCTGTAGCATCAGCGATGCCTGCTATCAGGGCAGGGAGGTGGACGTGCATTTGGTACTGGTTTTGTATATATTTGTATAGACTTCACTGTCTCCATTATCTTCTTATTGCTTTATTAAAGCTGCTAAAGCTGTTATTGCTTTATTAAAGCTGTTTTAGTTTTCTTTTCCAGTCCATAAGTCTCTCTGCCTCATTCTCTTTGGGGAGGGAGAGGGGTTAATAGAGAGCATCTGTCAGTCAGTCAGTGGCTGGCCCAGCCCTAACCTTCTACACAAGCTACAGCTTCAGAAGCTGATCATAGTTAATTATCTATCTCACATGCTGATCTTATTCAGGATGAAAAAGATCCTTCTAGTTCAAGTGTTCTATCTGCATCAGAAGATTAATTCTTCACAAGCATTTTTCATTCTGTTGTATAGCTTTTGATAGGTGCTGAGTGACAGTATTAGAAACAAAGAATATAAAGAAATAAAAGCTAGCTGTAGAACAAGCAGAAGAGTGACTGCAGGTTAGTGGTTACAACATTCATCTGGGAGCAAGGAGAGCTGGCAATCAGTGTTAACTTGCAAGACCATTTCTGAGTTTTGATTAATACATTTGCCTCTTCCTTTGCTGGAATGTATACTTGCAGAAAGGCACAGGTCTTTTGTTGGTATGTGCACTTGCAAGAAAATGTTCTTGTGACTGTAATAAAACTGATTCTTCAGTACAAGCCTTCATTAATTATTCATTTCAAATGACATGATATTCTTCCTGTCTGTCAACACAAATTAACTCACTACAACTGAAGCGATTAAAACAAAATGTCCATTGTACAGTTGCAGTTGCCATGCAAGAATATCCAAGTAACCACAACAAAGCAGGAAAATTAGAGACTGAAGCAAAAGTAACCTTTTCAATCAAGTTGGATTCCTTATTTACAAGCTGTGTGAGTTTCTGCAGATTAGCATCTGCTGTATCCTGTCCAGCCGGAGAATGGCCTGGAGAGTGAAGGCAGAAAGATGAAGGGTGAAAAGCTATTTACAAAAGCTTCCCAATCCTTAAAAGATAAACACACACTGGAGAGAAAGTTCATGCAGTGTTTTTATCCTAAGGGGAATTTAAGTAGAAAAGCCATTCCATGTAAGAAAAACAGAAGTACTAAGCATGAGCCATACCACAGATACAGGTGCATTTTGATTGACAGTCTAAAATGGAGTATTAGCCCTTGTTTTTCATTTTCAACCCCTTCTGTACATCTTTGGAAGCTTCTCCACCTCATTTATCCACAGAAGTTCTAACCTAAACTACATAAAATCTTATTCTACCTTGGTTCACAGACAGTCCTAATCCAAACATGACAAAAAGAGGAAAAACTCCACAGCTTACCTGAGACAGTTAACCTGAAGTAGCAAGCTAAAATATCATCACAGAAACGACACAGATTGGGAAGCTGTTTCAAATGCTCTTGTAATTGTACTCTGGGGAAGCACACTTTATAAATTGGTGCAAGGAAACCAAACGCAAAGGCATCCAAGGTGGTAGGCCTGAGAAGGGTTACAAAACAAAACAAAAATCCAAAGGGACCGAGGTAAGACATTAAGACCTCTAAAACTGTCTTCTGTGTATGTCAAACACAACTCATGACAGAACACAGCTGGCATTCCATCTTTCCATACCAATTTCAAAAATAGTTTGTACAGACTATCTACTGATTTCAGCACGTCTCAAGTAGAGACATGCTGGCAAGCTGAAACAGTAATTTCAGCATTGAAATCCAGTTGCACTGTGATAGATAAACAAGCCATTCTAAAACACAATTCTGGCACCACAAAAGCCAAGCTGTACGCCAGGGGACCAGATCTTCTCGTCCAACTTCATGGCTAAAGGAACAGATCACTCTTTTTAGGACCTGCTGGTGCTATGTTGTTGGCAATATCTACTTCCTGCTTTGTGCACGTACCACAAGAGGAGTGTTTCTGGACCCACACCCTCCTGCCACAAAGGCAGTGATAACACCTCAGGCTTAATTTAAGCACTTTTTCTACAAACAAGTACAGGAGGCAACATTCAGTGGCTAGAAAAGCATTTGCTAGGACTACACTAACTCATCAAGCACCTCACATTTTCTTAGCAGCTGAGGAGATTATCTGCCTCTCTGTGGAAAAACACAGGATAAGGGAGGCACTGGATTAATTTAGTCCATAGATCTTGTTTGCGCCCTGTTTGCTCACTCAGATTTATGTGAAAATCAGAGTGTGAGACATGACGCTACCATGCAGCACTTACAACATTCTAGCAGGTTAAAAAAAAAAAATTTAAGTGTTCACAGAGTCACATGGTACCTGTTTTATTACTTATTAAAAAAAAAAAAAAATCACACTCACGTATCTCCAAAGAAAAACTGAGATGTTCCCAATCTCTTCGACAGGAGATTTAGGCACTCCTTGGCATCTCTGTATATCTGATGAGACACAACACTGTCTAAGAGCCCTAGGTGTATGTACAGCATCGTTCATCATTTGACAGTGTGCTACACTGCTTCAGTTCTTGTCTTTGACAGCTCCAACTTACAAATTCTTTACAACGACAACACATACCTGTGCTTCTACTTCAGTGAGACTGTAGAGTGGAGGCCCTCCCCTGGTCAGTAAGATCCTGTTCAGTGCCTCCCTGGACATCTTTCCAGGCAGATACAAACTAAGTGGGAAGGCAATCCTTGAGGCAAACCATGGCTTTGTCACGCTGCAGTAATTTTCAGCCTCAACCCAGAAAGTGTGCAGCTGTATCAACAAAAGGAAAAATATGACTGGAATTTGAGTTAAGAATAGTAGGCACCTCTCTAAAGTTTGATGTGCAAGATCTCTGTCAGAGAAGCAGAAGCACCAGGAATGATTTTAAGGCAAACAGGCTCCATGAAGGATTATATGAATCATCTGAGTGCAGATGTATATAATTATGGCAACAGCTATCTCACACCTAAAGAAGAACAATAAAGGTTCTGTATAGACCTATAAACACATGCATAAAGTTACATACATACTTATGTTTATATTTACATATACACACATACACACACACTGTACATGAATATATTACAAAAGTTGCAGAAATAAAAGGTTAGGTTTGAACCTTCTAGATTTTTTAAAGAGTTTTATATAAATCTTAAAAATAAAAATTATTATAAAATGATGAACTCTAAACACTATGGGTCAGCTGAAGATGCCAGCCCATGATATAACCCAGTCAGATTATTTTTTCCTGTACAACTGAAGCCAAAGTCATTCAACAGAATCAGTATCTGGGGATTTTATAGCTTTAACGTATTTACACTAAACTGGTGAGTACATGCAGCCAAGTGTTATTCAGAACTTAAAAACAAATCCATCGATGAGTATTTTAATTTCTGAAAAGTTCTAACCAAACATTCAAAAGGCTTCCACACTTGTGCACCCCACATCAGACATACTACATCTTACTCAAAGCTTTTTCAAAAGAATCAAATTAAACAAAACGGCCACAATAACTTGTTTTCAGGATACTGCCTCCCAGAATTATCTAAGAGAACATTCATACATACACTTTTAAAATGTCTTTCATAAATTCACTACTATTACTTCACATTCCACAAGTACACACTTCTTTCTTTTTCAGAAGTTACTAGGCAGTATTTCCAAAATTGGACTAACAAAGCAAATGCATTCCAGTCAGGACACATTGGATGTATCTTGTAGCATTCATTTCTAAAAATTCCGGCCATTATAAAATATTTTTCAATACTTACCAGAGCAGGAAGCAGCTTCTCTTCAAGTAGTGCAATATATGCCAATGTATCAGCTCCTTGTTTTGCAGACAATTCATAATCGGCATTATATTTCTATGAATTAAAAAAATATATATATACTACAACTAGTGTTACACAGACCTGTGACACAACCTGAAATTGCTTCAAACTTAACACCTATCAAGTCAGTAAATACAACATTTTTCAAGGACAGAAAGCCCATGCTCCCTAGAATTTCTCTACTTCTTCAGGTCAGCTACGCTAAACCTCCCTATATCTCCCTTTTCCACTTTTCCATTCCTAGATTTTTGGGCTCTCCTACTCCCAGAATAACTTTTGTGTCTCCTTCTCATTGTCTTCCAAGCATGTTACAGTCATGTATCAAGTCCAGTGATACAGAGGCAATTTTTCAATATTTAGAGATGTAGCAAACCTATGGCAAGTCCTCATATTTATTTTTAAAGAAGCATCTGGCACTTAAGCAGATGTAACTATAAAAAAAAGGCAATTACCATCTTTGATTTTAATTACCAAAGTTTAGTAACTGGATGCCTGCAATATAAGAGACCAAATGCACAGCTAAATTAACACAGTTACAGCTGACCAAGCTTTTAATTCTAAAACTGGATCCTTTTAAAAAAGGTACATTTAGATGTTTGTTAAGTTTTTCAGAAGGAGAGGAGATTCATTTCAATTAATTTATAAACAGAGGGTCAGTGCTGACTCTTAGATACGTGGAAAGCAAGTATATTGTTATACTTTAACACGAAGAGGTGGTGTTTTTTTCCCCAATATTAAGGAATCTCTGGTATTCAAACCCTACGAAACTTCCGAATTTTAAAACAACTGGCTAAAATCCCATCTTGAATGTGCAGTTTTGGGACTCTGTTTTTCTACCCCCAAAGACTTAAAGTCTCAGTAATATGGCATTCATCAGACAATCTCGACTAGGCAGGAACTGAATTTCTAATGTAAAATCAGAACACTGGGCTGGAGAACCATCTCAGAAATAAAAATATGATGCTACGCTTTATCAGACATCTTTATAGTTGTGAAAAGAAAAAAATTGTATGGCCTTATTCTTTGTGAATAAAGCATTAAGAGATATGCAAAAGGCAAGCAAGAGTTGACTACACAGTAGTCTTGATGTGCATCAGGAAATGCTTGCAGACATTTTTATGCTACAAGCTAAAGAAGCGGATTAAAAGCAATGCTGTATGTACTATCCTTCAAAAAAGGAGCACTGGGAGACAATTACCCACTCAAGTAGCTAAAATTACACTTCCTAAATTGTGATATCACAGCTCTACGAAGCTATAATGACATTAAAACTGTTACAATTGAGAGCAGTATGCTCTGTGAGAAGCTGCTTAATTAAGGACAGTTTATTATCCTTTTCAATGAACAGTCTTCTTGTGCTTATTTTTAATCTTTCGCATTACAATTAAACTTTCAAAAAGAAATCTGTTATCCAGTATTTTGCAGTTCTCATGCACATATGAAAAACAGGAAAGCACTGGGTCTGAAATGAGTTCCAGGTTTTTGGAAGCTGGTATCAATGTGTACAGGGAACACACAGAGTCACCACAAGGCAGAGAAAACAAATGTTTTAGAAGAGACCTACCTGCTTCCTTAAGAAGTTTAGTATTTTTGCTGGCTGAGAAATAACAGTGTCTTCTGATGTAAGCACTGGCACATCTCCTAGAAGACATAAAAATACAGTCAACAGCACAACTAAAAAGCAATCACTCACCTCATCTACTTGTCTTTTCTCCATAGCATGCTCTGATCTCCCTAACAGGTATGCATAAACTACGCTTTACACAGCAGAGGAGGTTCCACCAAGGTTACAAATACGTTTAGGGTACTGCAGTCTTCACTAGTAAAAACACACAAAAAAGGGCCCACACCAAACCAGACTGAAGCCAACGTCTTCTGCTAGATCTGCTGACACTTTGAGAAGCAGGCTACTTGTCTGTATTTCAGATGTTCATCCCAAGAGACAAAAACTCCAACCCAGTCCAACTGCCCTCTCAACTCATTTACCCCCAGGCCTCTCCTTCTTTCTACTCAAATTTTTCTCTGTCTTTCCCCTCCAAAACCATTTTAACCACCTGTTTTCTCCAGCTACAACCAATCCCAAGCTACCACTCCATAACCATGAACTACCCCAAAACCAGCCAGAAGCTTACTGCTCAGCCTTTACTCATCAGATTACAGAATCCAAGACTGTCGTGTAAAACCTCTGTAACAGTGCCTATCTTATGGCACAATCAGGATGTAACTGCCACAATGAGCCTAATGTGACAGTGCTGCTAAACACTATCGGTATCAATTATGACCAATACCTACTATTTTGATTTTTTTTGTTCGGATTCAATGTATTTTGGCTACGAAAAAAGCCACTGAACTTTTGGCAAGTACACCCTTGGTATTGGTATTTTCTGCTAACAGAAAACAATACACTGAAAAGCAAGAGTCAAAGGCGTACTTTTGCATTAACTAAACTGATGGTGTGCTAGGCGTAAATTACAGACCACTTTAAAACTGCAGTGATTTTACCTCTCTGGAATACACCAAGACAATAACTTAAACGCTTGAGCGAACACATATGCAACAAGTAGAAGTACCTGAGAAGAAGTCCTCTCCAGTACCTGCTCATCAACTTCCCTGGCAATTCAGTTGTTAGTCACCTTTTCTGAGTCAACCTCTCTAACTCAGCACAGTACTTCACACCCCAGCGCATGCAAGTTATGATCTTTGAGGCCCACGTTCCAATTCTAACTGTACCAGCCCATTAAATTATGTATACTTAAAGAACACTACTTCCATACGCAAGCCTAGTTAACATAATTACAAATATGCAAAGTGCAAAAAGCTTAAAAGTTGGCATTATACTATCAATATAGACTGCCTGACAGAAACAGGTATGTGCTGGCATCACTGCTTAGTTGAACCTCCAGTGCTTCACTCACACTCGTTTTAATGAAGTGTAATTTGGGACACTTTATTTATGTCTTCTGTCATTTTATTGGCACAAATTTATCACACTCGATCCTGTAAGGTCATTTAAGCATGTACTGAGAAAGCAGGTAGCCTTCACTGGGGCAGGTTACACTCACTAACACAAAACCAAAGCAAACATGGAAACAATGCAGAAACTGGAACACACATCTGCAAAGGAATAAACAAAATACGAACAGAAGAATAAAAAAATGCAAAGATGGTACCTTTTGAAGCTCTCCAAGAATTATTTATAGTGTTCACTGTCAGGGGAGCACCAGAAAACTTAGCG